ACTCATAATCAGGAGGTAGGAGTTCCTGGACACTTTGAATGTGAAAAGGATACATAAGTTGTTCTTTAATTATTCTGTTGGATGTGCTTTTTGAAATCCTAGTTTGGCGTGCCAGTCGTTGGGTACTAATTCCGGGATTATTTTCAACTATTTCAAGTATTCCCTCCTCTGCAGCAGGAGTTCTAACATGGCGAGGTCTTCCAGTATTATTTCTGTTCGGTTTCAGTTGACCAATTTCTCGAAGTCGCCTCTCGATAGAAGTAAAAGTCTGGTGATTCGGAATCTGTCGATTTGGAAATCTTTCATGGTATACCCGAACACTCTCACGGCAGTTGCCATTACAGAAACCAAGCACTAGCAACATATCAGTTTGTTCATTGAATGTGTACTCCATACCAACCACAAAATGTTTGAAATAACTCCTTCACAAAAACTTTAAATCGAAACAGAAAAAATACAATACATACATAAAATGAGTAGTATCAACAATTTTTATAGTTCTACAACATACATATCTGTCAAAATGATCAAATTGTTTATTGTAACGTTGACAATTGCCAACTTAGTTTTCTTGAAAATTTTAAGTGACTAACCCTCAGTCCATACATTTTTTTTTACTCAAATACCATGAGAGATACATGTTTTTTGCAAGAGAGAAAAATTGCTGCAAATGAAAACAGCTCTCCACAAAAAAAAATTTAGGGAACAGGGGCGGCTGAAAAAAAAATACGATGTCATTTATGGTAGGATTAGGATGGTTTTTACCCTTCCATAATTTCAGTTGGTGTAATTTTTGCTTTGAACAATGGCACTTCAATTAAAATAGCTACACACCAAATTTTATAAAAATCGAACGATCTATGTACACGGAATTTTGGGACACCCTGTATTATAACACTGAAAGTTTTTTACCTAAATCTGCACTGAGATCTATATTCCGTCATTTGTCTCAAATACTTATTTTCTCTATCAACACTATTAATTTATATCAGCAATTTAACTTTACCAACTTATATCGGAAGTGGCCACTAACTTCATTATTTTAAATAGAATACCCTATATTTATTTTTAATTTGAGATTCAGCATGAAATTCTGTAAACAATAATACCCCATTTGCCTATTTGAATTCTAGCGGATTTAACGTTATTCAATTTTTTTAAAATTTTGATTGGAAGCAATAAAAACACAATTTGTTTTATTTGAGTAGAGTTCAAGTTTTATGTTTTACATATAGGTACTTAAATTTGGAACAGAATAATATTACTTAGGTAAAAAAAAAATTCTGTGTTGAATTTTTCAATCTTATCAGGTATGCACCCCACAACAATATAAAAACATTAAAATCTCCACTAGGAGATCTATTATAGCACAATATAATTTTAAAAACACGATAACGACTTTTAAAAGAAACACCGCACATTTAAAAATGCTGTTCAATACAGAACATGTCACAATTTAGATCCTTCACTTGAAGACTGTTATTCAGCCTAATACCAGTGCCACCACATTTCATAGTTAGTCGACAATATTACCTCTTAGGTGAAGGGATTCCAAAAAAAATTTTTGAACTCCAGTTTGGACTAAACAAATAATTGGGATCGAATATTGATGTAGATCATCATCGACAAAGTTAACCTTCGTTTCGTTTAAAGTTGCTATATTAAGGGCCGATTCCACCGTTGCGTTAAACTGAGATTAAAATGAAATTGTTAATGTAAAAATGTAATTTTAAACTACGATTAACACAACGGTGGAATCGGTCCTAAGTAGAAGCAGGTTTGGTTCAAACATTAAGGTGTATTGTGTGCAGAATTCCTGCGCCTCTCTAAAAAACGAGAAATGCAAGCTCCTAGAGGCCATAATTCAGGATTCATAGCATTTCTAAAATTAATAATAATAATATTTATTGACCTTTGAAGCCATATCTACAAAATATGAATAAGGTAAGTCATGCATAGATAAATAAATAAAAAGAACAAAGTAACAATACAACACAATACAATATAAAAATCTATAAAGAGGTAAGAACCGGCGTAGTATGGTGATTTTTTGTAGCTGGTATGGTAATGTTTTAAATATATATTTTCAGCATTTCTGGTATTATACCCGTGTATATTTTTTTTCGTTATGAGATTTATTTTATTAAAAGTAAAAGACCTTTGATACTTTTAGTATATCAGGAAATTTACCAGACGTTACTGATTTGTTTATTATTTTGGTAAAGAATGGGGCAAGCTGATCTGCACATTCTTTCAAGAGAAATACAGGTACAGGTACAGGTACAGGTAACATTGGCCTAAAATAAAATGAGTCACACGGTGATTTTTTTGTTATTACTTTCCAATATTGTAACTTTAAAAAAAGAGTAAATTTCAGCGAATTTAATTTTTCACATTTAACTTCCGGAAAATTTTTAATGAGAATAGATTCCAGATCATTAGTGGTAATGTAGATATTAATTCTGTAAACATATAGGCTTGCATGTTTAGGTACGCCTTTCACAATTTCGGTAGTATTATTTCGTACAACAATATTACGTTTTCTTCGTCGGTTAACGACGTTCCAATTATTTGCATTATTGCATTTTTAACTGCCTCAGATGCATTCATTTTAACAATACTAGCACTATCTTATATCTTTGAACTTCCTGCAGACTTGGTGAAGAATTATTTTTAAATTTGCTATAACTTTTTTGGGAGTCATTACGCGTATTTGAAACACTCGAAATTATTAAATTAAGCTGATTTGGTTTTTGTGCTGTAGCACTATCGGACCACTTTTTTTTTGGGTTTATCTCATCGACCGTATTTAAATTGATTGAATTCTCTTCAATGGAACAATTTGTTCGTTTAAAATATTTATTTTATCACACATTCCTTTTATTAAAGTTTAGCTCCTCAAATGTGGTCCGAAGTTCAATATTTTCAAATTTTAAATGGATAGATACATCATATTATATTATTTCATCATATTCTACGGCTAAAAATATTTCATAAGTTCATATTTATTTATTTCCTTATCTTGAACGTATTCTGATAAAAAATGGAATATGTCTACAACAATGGTTAGTATTTTGTTTAATTTAACTTCCACGGATCATGTACCCGTTCGTCCAGACTAAACTTCAAAAACCCTCAAAAAGGTAAATTGAGGGATGATGAATTTCAGAGAACGTAAAGCTTATTCCACAAGAGCTAGGAAAACGAACGCATGATAGTAAATAGTAATAGTAAGAAGGTAGCGAAATAATAAAGCGAAAAAACAATGAAACAAATTAGTACAATGTGCCGTTAGCCCAGCTATAGTGCAATGAGCTTCAGGGTGCATGATCGGCAGGGTCCAATCACTAATGGACAATTTTAAATTTAAGACAGTCGAAAACTCTATACAGGGCGTTTACGAAGATATAATTGCGTCGTGTATATCGCCATCTGAAGAAGATCGAAAGCATTTATATAGTAATTAAATTTAAGTTATACCTAGATACAATAATATAAAAACGCAAAAAACTGTCAAGAATTACTTACCAGTGGTGTACTGTATGCAGAGAATATTGAATTTTATTCGAGTTATTAAAATCGATTCAACCAATAGTCCAGTAACTGAACCTTTAGAAAATTTGCTAATGAGTTCCCACATAACGCAATTTGTGGGTCATCGCAGGTGTTTTTAAATGAGAAAATCCTTAACGCGTTCTTGGTACCGGAAGGGGCTGAAAATGGACCCCTAAACTCTGAAAAACGGGTTTCCCGCCAATATCTGGCTGAATATGACCATTAGAGAATTTTTGTTCAGACAAAAAATTAAGATCAGCTCATTTTCTACAAAAATGATACCTACCAATTTTTTTGCAATGCCAATATTTTTTGCAAAATCAGACTTCGAAAAATCCATAATTTTCCTATTGAATAGATATGGTAGTTTCTTGCCGAATTTCCACTCGATGGGGTTGGAAATACATTGATCTTCATCTTTTGGACTTTAGAGACCAATTACAGATGGCGCCAGCACCTTTGCTCTTCTCGCTAAATTACGGAGTCCGGAAATAATCGATTATTCGACAATTACTGGCGGATTTCACCTGATTTTTTTCTGCAAAGTAGCGCTTGGACTCTCTCAATTGTATTAGCGAATGTTCTGTGCAATTTGAGTTGCAAATTTACCAGAAAAATGCAAAAATTTATTTTTCCTTGTGCCAAGGTCTTGAATCCCGTTGTTTTGGCTAAAAGCAAATGACATCTTTTAGAGCGTGGTGAATATTCACCATACAACCATTCTAAACATTTTTGCGATTTTTTTGCAAACTTTTTTCGAAATAATATGGGTGCAGGATTTCGGAAAAAATATGCAAGTCTTTGAAAAATTACATTTATTTGGAAGAATTGGTTGGATATAAAACATACATAACAACCTTTAGGGTGTGGTCAACCACTCCAAGTCATCAGAATCATATATATATTCTTCATCGTCAACGATATTCTCGTCGCCTACTCCCTCTTGCTCCATTTCTACCCTTCCCCCTGTCGTCCTTTCTCTCTCTTCCTCCAGCTGTATTTCTGCCTCCTCGCTTTGCAACCCTTCTGTCACTTCTTCCACCTCAATTTCTACTTCCACCTCTAATTCTATATACCTTCATTTCTTTTATCATTTGAACATTGTGTCAACTGACACGAACCACAGATGGACGAGCATTTCAGACCCGCTTTCAAACATGAACAATTCTTCTCGCAGCCTCTCTTACACTGACAAAAAAATCATCTTTAAGAGTTCCGGTGGGGCCGGATCCTGTGTGGTCTGGACCGGTAATAGCATTTCCCCTGCACGTTTCCAGCCCCATTCCTCTGGTGACAGTTCATTCCCCAGCCAATCCTGTACTTGTAAATATACCCTATAAAAGTGCTGCCTAGCAGCTTCAGCGGTAGGGGGCAAGCATTCTAGTTTTATTGCAGTTTTATGGACAAGTGCTTGAAAGTCCAGGACCGGGTGGCCTGGAGAGTCTTTATTTTCGCTGGCAATTTGTAAATCGACAGCAAAACAGTTTCTCCGTTCGCGAATATAGTCTCTCGAGGAAGGTTTTGATTTTTAAAAGATTCAATGGCCATTTTGAGTTTTCCACCATTTTAGACAAACTTGACAGTACTGACTTTTTCCATTTTCTGAAAAAAGCTCCATTCATTGCATGCAAAAACAGAATGTTGTCTCTCATAAAGGGATGCGCATCCAGGCTCCTGGAAGAGTACACCTGGTCGGTCTTATTTCCCTTGACAGCTTTTAAGAAATAAATTGTCCGGTGTTCTGGAGTCAATGCTGTTAATATTACTAGGATGTCAATGTCCTCTGCCACTACTACTACTACTGGTAGGTCACCTACAGAGTCTTTTTGGAGCGCTGTTTGTACAATTAATGAATCTGCATCGTCCAAAGCTTGTAACGTGGAAATGCCATTCTTTTGCAAGGCTTCTATCAAATATTTGATGAGCCGACTTTTATTGTAGTTACTGGATAAAAACTTGTTCTTTGGAACCATTAAATCCATAGTGGGGTCGAATTGGATGTCGGGACAAGACTTGTTACTCGCGCGCCGCAAACGTTCAGCCCCTTTAATGCTATTACAATTGAGGTCATAGCCATCGAATACTACTATCACTTCCTTTGTATAATGGTCTTCCAAATATTTGACGTATCTAGCGAAAGTGTCTTTGAATGGCTTACTTGAGGTCCAGGGGACACGATGTAATAACATTCCCCCATCGAAGACATAAGCGCATTTCGTTCTGTCAATGCGTTCTTTTTCTGGTGAGAAAAGATTTATTAACCCAGCTTTTGTTCGCATAATCCCGTTTTCAAATATACTCAGGGGGAAAGGAGCTAGTTCATAAGCAAAATAACTTTCTAAATCTTCTTCCGACTCTTTCGTTATGCTAATTATCTGGAAAATTAATAATGGATCCACGGTTACGAGTGCGTCCTGAACTTTTCCCGAGCTCGTGGCATTGATGAGGGGGACCACACGATGCTTCCGCTTGAAAGAAATTTTGAACCTGGCTCATTATACTAGCTGTTCCAACCGTAAAAGTATCTTGACAATTAACGTGTTCTCCGCCGACAAGCCCTGTTGCCAAGGAAATAAGTTTTTCTGTATGTGGAAACGGGTCTTTTAAAATAATCCACGCGGTTAGTTTAGCCATGTCTTCATATTCACGGTCTATGCGACTGTCCCGGGCATCGACGTGCTGATCACTAAAATTGAACTGGACCCCACAAAACCCCTCCATTTGGTTACAAATATCCACCATGAAAGGAAGAGATGCTACGAACTTGGTAGTAGCACCAGTATTAAACCCTCTGTGTACCAATCAACCGCTAACTTTAATCATTCTCATAAAATCCTTCTCAATCGTCATGTCCGTAAAGGTGCCCGACCAGTTTCCATAATATAAGCAACAATTCTCTCAATCTGTGTTGAAATATCTGAGTCCTGGGGCCGTCCCTTCGGTTTAGCCTTACCAGAAGCTTTTTCAGACAATTGATAGAATGCCAGGCGACAGACTTTATGATATCTTGCACCATTAACTGTGAGGTCGATCCCAGAAAGTATTTCTAGCGTCGCTTTATACTTTTCTATATCAATATGAGCTGTGATCTGATTCAGAAGTGTGGTCTTGAATTCTGTGTTCGAAACAAGTACGATGGTACGCTTCTTTACCAAACTGCTCTTTCTATTCTCCTTTTCTATCGAAGCAGGTAACACAGAACAAACAATTGTTTTTGAAGTCAAAGCCACTATAGGAGCGCTTCTTTTGCCTCTTCGGGCTCGTTAAATGGTCCAACCGTCTTGAAGAGTGCTTGTCAAACTCGTTGTACGCGAACTTGCCTCGAGATTTAATAATATAGCGGTTCCTACACTTGTTGTGCATTCGTACAGAGGATTGTTTCCGGAGAAATAGGTGGAAATTATCGCATCTCTCCTTGCTCAATAGAATCAAATTTTCTAAACCACGAGTAACATTTACACCGTCATTCACAACACCCTCCTTACAAAGAAAGCATTCTGGAACGGAATCCGCTTCCATTTCAACAACACCAAGAGCTACCAAAAAATAGATTACACCAAGTTTTTAAAGTTGAGGCAAAATAAAACAAACCTTATTTTCTGCTTCCAACAAAAAAATCCTTGAATATTCTTTCTTGTAGACAAGAATAACGTGAAAATTTCTCACTTTAAACACTTCTTTTTTTATAACTGAATTAATTTAATGAAAAATATTTATTTTATATAAATAATTCAAAATAAATAATGAAAAAATATCATCAGTACATCAATAATCCAGTCAAGCCGACGACTCCAAAACAGAGATTGTATACAAACACATGCAGACAACTATCGCAGCATGGGTACACGAGGTTAGGTTATAGACAATATCATGGATCTCAGAGGGGGAGCTTAAAAATGAAGTATATAATTATTGTAACAACCTTTTTAGAACCAAGAAAGGATATGTGGATTGACTTATATCAATGGAAAGGTCAGAATACAAGCTTTACTTTGATCTAGTTATTAATCCTCAAAAAATAAAGAGCCTGGAACAAGAAATGGTTAAACAAAAAAAGACCGGTTTTCACTCGTGTGATCAATTTTCCTTATTTCTTGAAAATTATTAGACTCTATTAAAAATAGAAAAATATATTTGAAAAGTAGACCATCTAAGCTTTAAAATGATGTGCATTGGAAATCAATATATCGGATCATAAGATAATAATTCGCACTTGTTCCGAAGATTCTATGGAACTCCGAAAGGCCAAAACATGTAAATAAACAAATCAATTTTGTATTAAAACGCAAGAAAAGTATTACAAAAAAATTTCTGAGATCATTCAAGATCCCCCAAGGTCCCATTGTAAAAGCAAAATTAGAATAAATGACTATTTTTAAAGAAAATATGAATAAATTAATGAAGCAGTCTCTAAATATTGTTGAAAAAAACTTTGACCGCTTTTTAAAATATTTTTGGCAAATACGAACTTACTTCAAGTCACATGGAATTGTAGCTACGGGTTTTATTATTGCGATGAACTTTGACTCATCGAAAAATATCAATTTTTTCCCGAGATATGGAACAATTCGTCCGCCCGCTTACACGTTAATTCATAGAAAGCGGAATTCCTGCAGGTAGAGCAGCAGCTGAAATGAGGGGACTTTTGAGTGCCACTATCTCGAAAATTATTGAATTTTCGAAGAAAATGATAAGGGCCATTTTCGTAGATAATGAGCTGATCTTCATTTTTTTGTCTAAACAAAAATTCTCTAATTGGCATATTCAGTCAGATAGCGTAAAACCCATTTTCCAGGTTTTAGGGGTCCATTTTCAGCCCCTTCCGGTACCAAGAACGCGCTAAGGATTTTCTCGTTTAAAAACACCTGCGATGACTTACAAATTGCGCTATATGGTCAGTAGTTTGTTTAATTTAACTTCCACGGATCATGTACCCGTTCGTCCAGACTAAACTTCAAAAACCCTCACAAAGGAAAATTGAGGGATGATGAATTTCAGAGAACGTAAAGCTTATTCCACAAGAGCTAGGAACACGAACGCATGATAGTAAGTAGTAATAGTAAAAAGGTAGCGCAATCATAAAGCAAAGAAACAAGGAAACAAATTAGTACAATGTTCCGTTAGCCCAGCTATAGTGCAATGAGATTCAGGGTGCATGATCGGTAGGGTCCAATCACTAATGGACAATTTTAAATTCAAGACAGTCGAAAACTCTATACAGGGCGTTTACGAAGATATATTTGCGGCGTATATATCGCCATCTGAAGAAGATCGAAAGCATTTATAAAGTAATTAAATTTAAGTTGTACCTAGTTACAATAATATAAAAACGCAAAAAACTGTCAAGAATTACTTACCAGTGGCGTACTGTATGCAGAGAATATTGAATTTTATTCGAGTTATTAAAATCGATTCAACCAATAGTCCAGTAACTGAAGGGTCAAACCTTTAGAAAATTTGCTAATGAGTTCCCACATAACGCAATTTGTGGGTCATCGCAGGTGTTTTTAAATGAGAAAATCCTTAACGCGTTCTTGGTACCGGAAGGGGCTGAAAATGGACCCCTTAACTCTGAAAAACGGGTTTCCCGCTAATATCTGGCTAAATATGTCAATTACAGAATTTTTGTTCAGACAAAAAATGAAGATCAGCTCATTTTCTACAAAAATGATACCTACCAATTTTTTTGCAATGCCAATATTTTTTGCAAAATCAGACTTCGAAAAATCCATAATTTTCCTATTGAATAGATATGGTAGTTTCTTGCCGAATTTCCACTCGATGGGGTTGGAAATACATTGATCTTCATCTTTTGGACTTTAGAGACCAATTACAGATGGCGCCAGCACCTTTGCTCTTCTCGCTAAATTACGGAGTCCGGAAATAATCGATTATTCGACAATTACTGGCGGATTTCACCTGATTTTTTTCTGCAAAGTAGCGCTCTCTCAATTGTATTAGCGAATGTTCTGTGCAATTTGAGTTGCAAATTTACCAGAAAATTGCAAAAATTTATTTTTCCTTGTGTCAAGTTCTTGAATCCCGTTGTTTTGGCTAAAAGCAAATGACATCTTTTAGAGCGTGGTGAATATTCACCATATAACCATTCTAAATATTTTTCGCATTTTTGCGATTTTTTTTGCAAACTTTTTTCGGAATAATATGGGTGCAGGATTTCGGAAAAAATATGCAAGTCTTTGAAAAATTACATTTATTTGGAAGAATTGGTTGGATATAAAACATACATAACAACCTTTAGGGTGTGGTCAACCACTCTAAGTCATCAGAATCATATACATATTCTTCATCGTCAACGGTATTCTCGTCGCCTACTCCCTCTTGCTCCATTTCTACCATTCCCCCTGTCGTCCTTTCTCTCTCTTCCTCCAGCTGTATTTCTGCCTCTTCGCTTTGCAACCCTTCTGTCTCTTCTTCCACCTCTATTTCTACTTCCACCTCTAATTCTTCCGGGAATATCCCTTCATCTCTTTTATCATTTGAACATTGTGTCAACTGACACGAACCACAGATGGATGAGCATTTCAGACCCGCTTTCAAACATGAACAATTCTTCTCGCAGCCTCTCTTACACTGACAAAAAAATCATCTTTAAGAGGTGGGGCCGGATCCTGTGTGGTCTGGACCGGTAATAGCATTTCCCCTGCACGTTTCCAGCCCCATTTCTCTGGTGACAGTTCATTCCCAGCCAATTCTGTACTTGTGAATATACCCTATAAAAGTGCTGCCTAGCAGCTTCAGCGGTAGGGGGCAAGCATTCCAGTTTTATTGCAGTTTTATGGACAAGTGCTTGAAAGTCCAGGACAGGGTGGCCTGAAGAGTCTTTATTTTCGCTGGCAATTTGTAAATCGACAGCAAAACAGTTTCTCCGTTCGCGAATATAGTCTCTTGAGGAAGGTTTTGATTTTTAAAAGATTCAATGGCCATTTTGAGTTCATGGGGTTGAGCGTATTCCACCATTTTAGACAAACTTCCATTTTCTGAAAAAAGCTCCAGTCATTGCATGCAAAAACAGAATGTTGTCTCTCATAAAGGGATGCGCATCCAGGCTCCTGGAAGAGTACAACTGGTCGGTCTTATTTCCCTTGACAGCTTTTAAGAAATAAATTGTCCGGTGTTCTGGAGTCAATGCTGTTAATATTACTAGGATGTCAATGTCCTCTGCCACTACTACTACTACTGGTAGGTCACCTACAGAGTCTTTTTGGAGCGCTGTTTGTACAATTAATGAATCTGCATCGTCCAAAGCTTGTAATGTGGA